AAAAAAAAAAAAAAGAGGGATAAGAATCAGTGTTGAGTGTTGTAACAAACCTCGGCTAAGATACCAGTTCTGATTTCCGGTCCTTTAGTATCTAGCGCAATTGCAATATTATACTGATTACCGAGTTTGTCGATTGCTTGTCGTAAATTTTTGATTGTGTTTGCATGATACTGTAACCAGTGCTGTCTTCAGTATTGATGATACTTCTGGTTGACAAATACTGCATTTTTTGATCAATAAATAAGACTTGTATGATGTTATTAAAGTTTCAAGCATTTACCTCATGAGTTCCATGACTAAAATTCATTCGTGCAACATTCATACCCTTCTTAATCATAGTTTCCAATTTTTCTGGACTTTGACTGGCTGGTCCTAAAGTATTGTTCAAAAGAAAAGAAAAAAGGTTTTGTGAAATTTAGATTTGTACTCTTTACATATTATTTGGCTACTGTTTTTTGCGAAAGTGGATTAGGGGGTTGGGTTAGCAGAAATTAGACATACAGTAAACGTAGATGGAATTGTAGAAGTGTTGTTGTTATAATAAATGACGGCACTTCAAAAGTCAGATTTTTTTTAAACATATTTGATCTGTAGACAAAGGATGATCAAAGATTACTGTTGGTCAGCATGGACAACAGTATGTTTACCAATTGTACAGATGATACCCGTTCGACGGGTAATCGACGGTGTAGCGGCACTACCAACTTTAAGGCTACATAGTTGTTCTAAGTGTGTTCGCGACATAATTGTTGCAGTTCGTCGGGGTTTTTCCAAGCTGAAAACTTATACACTTATACAGATTCTGTTTCGCTGTAAAATAGTTGAAATCAGTAAAGAAATTTTTAACTTTCTTATTACTTTTCTTTTTATTGTTTTAGAAAAAATATGTTTATATAATTATTTACTGGAAAAAAAAAAAAGGCGAAAAAGATGAAAAAGCAAAAGAAAAACCTTTAAAAATTTGCTTTTTTTTACATTTAATTTTATTTTTGCTTTTAAAAATAGATTTCCTTATTTTTTTTTAAATTATTTTATTTGTATAAATTATGCATGTATAAATTTTTATTAAAAAAAAATTTTTTTTTTTTGACAGATGAAAGAAAGCAAAAAAAAAGCAAAAATATTATACTCAAAAAAAAAACAGTGTTTAACAAGAAAAAGAAAGTTTAAAAAATAAAATTAAAAACTTGCATGTAACTTTGAGCCATGATTTACTGCGGA